GAATGATTTCTGAAGATCATGTGACACTGAAGACTGGAGTAATGATGCTGAAAATACAGCTGCGCATCACAGAAATATATTACAGTTTAACATATATTCACATAGAAAACAGCTGTTTTAAATGATAATAATATTTCAAAATTTTTACTGTATTGTTTAACACACATCAGCACTTCTGCAGGATCACAAACACACACTCAAGAGCAAGTAATGGAAGTTTAAGGAATAAAACCAAGGAACACAATACTTTTATAGTTAAATAAAAAACAAAAACTACACTGCAATGAGTTTTTGTCTTGTGTTCCAGTACAAATATCTAAACATTCTTAAATCAAGATACATTAAGTTGAGACGCAAAATTATGATATTGAGATATTAATATTTGTTTTCAGAAAAAAATATCCAAATTAAGTGAGTTTTGCTTGAAATAACAATATATTTAAATTTTTTAAATTTAATTCAAAGGGAAAGCAGGATTATTTTTCTGACCCCATTGGCAGATAAAATCACTTAATTTTGACACATTTTTCTGGAAAAAAAAGACTTATCTTAAATAAATGTATCTTGATTTAATAATGTTTTGATATTTGTACACAAGATACAAATACTAAGGAATTTATTTATTTTTTGCCGTTTACAACTAAAAAAAAAAATGTGTTACTTGAAAAGAAAAAAAAAAACAAAAACCGTTAACTGAAATAAAATTAAATAAAATATAAAAAACTTAGTTTAATTTAGTTTAACTTGACATACTAACATTATTAAAAGTAACTTGAAATAAAAATGAATAAAAACTGTATAGACACAAAAACAAAACCTACAACAGAAAAATAAATGTAATTAAAAGGAAAGCTTTCATTGTTTTAAGCATAAACTCACTTAATTTTGTTAAACGTCTCAGAAAACAAGTCATTTTGCATTTGCAAGTAAATCCATTAAATAAAACATCCTTAAATCTCGATTAAATATAAATAATAAATAAATAATTAATTTAATAAATATTTGTTTTGCAAAACGAGACAAAAACACAGAGGATGATATTGATGTTCAGGTAACACTTTATAATAAGCTTTAATTTGTTAGCATTAGTTAATTTATTAGTTAACATCAACTAAATATTAGCAAACATTTTACAGCATTTACCTGTATTATCTTAATTTATTAACCTTTTAATAAAAATAGTAATTGTTCATAGTTGTGCATTAACTAATGTTAACAAATACAACTTTTTAACTAGGATCAATAAATGCTGAAGAAGTATTGTTTATCGTTAGTTCATGTTAACTAATGTAGTTAACTAATCAAACTGCTGTAAAGCGTTCCCATGTTCTGCGGTGCGTGCAACATGTAATGCCACGACTTAATGAATTCAAGACTTTCTGCTTCAGTTTAAGACCTTTTTACGCTGAAAGGCGAATGCAGACTTACACGAGCAGTCAAAAGTGTTTGAACAGTAAGATTTTTAATGTTTTATAAATAAGTCTCTTCTGCTCACCATGCCTGCATTTATTTGATCAGAAATACAGTAAAAGCAGTAATATTGTTATGTTGAAAACAGCTGAGTAGAATTTTTTCAGGTTTCTTTGATGAATAGAAAGTTCAGAAGAACAGCATGTATCTGAAATAGAAATCTTTTATAACATTATTAATGTCTTTATCATCACTTTTGATCTATTTAAAGCATCCTTGCTAAATAAAAGTATTAATTTCTATCAATAGCCACAAAGCGAGACAGACATTCCAGACAGAAGGTATGGGTACATTCAAGAAGCTTTGGTGTCTTGAAGGTGTTGTCGTATGCGCAAAAGCAGATTGAACACTCTGGACCGGCATCCCAGGCATTGTCCTGATCATCACCGGAGGCCACCTGTGTCATGTGTTGGTGCCGCATTGAATTGGTACGTGATGCTGTGGATACTTCCGGGTCCTCCATCCTGTTGTGTGATCAAAAGAAAATCTGAAATGCAAAATGAATGAGAAACAATGATTACTTAAAATATATATGCTGTTGTCCTACACTACAAAAAAAAATAAAATTAAAAATAAATAAAATTATAAAATAAAATGAATAGTTTCTCTGTTCTCTGATTGTGACTTATGACTTATTATTGGTAAAAACATATAAATATATATATATAATAAAAAAAAATAAAAAATAAAAATAAAATAATAAAATTAAAAATAAATAAAATAATAAAATAAAGTAAATTTTGATTATCTGATTTTCACTTATGACTTCTTATAAGCATTTTGGCATAAGAGTATTTTATGTATAAGTACTATGTGTTTATTTACTAATAATACAAGTAAAAATTAAATAAAATGCAACTGATTACAGCTGTCTCTCATCATGACATAACTTACTTTTGGCACTGTTTTTTGTATAAATGAATCTTATGTATAAAAACAGAAATGTGAAAATAAAATAAAATAAAATAATAACATATAACATAACATAAAATTAAAATAAAATAAATAAATAAAATAAAATGCATTTAAAAAATGAATACCTTATGGGAGACCAGCTTGAGCAGGCTGATTTTAGCTGCATTATATATTTTCACCTGTGAGTCATGAGATCTAAACTAGTCTAATGAAGGAAATCAGTCGCTGACGGATCAACAAACACGCTTCTCCGTGTTTTACTCACGTCCTTCCACTCATGTGCTGTCCAGCTATGCGTCTGGCAGTCCGTGTGGAAGCAGGACCGGAGTCGGTCGGGACGCACACGCGTGTCACACAGGTCATCAGAGACGCGACCTCTGCCCTTTAACCTGCAGAAGACCTCGCGGGACTGAAGGCCAGCGCCGCAGCTCACCGAACACTGCACACAAACACACATCACACACGTCATTTAGAGCTCGCATGCTCTTCGTTAGTGAGGGCCGTGATGCTCAGAACAGAGTTGATATCTGGAGCTGCTCTGAATGAACACTCGGGTCAGTTTTACCCAGAAGACATACATAACAATTTCTAGAAACTGCATGGTTTTTAGTAAGGGAACGAAACCTTGCAAACCCTTTAAGATCCGTGGTTTTTTTTCCAGATTTTTTACAATTGTTTTGTATGAGATATAACATGTTTCGTGTTCGGGTCATTTTTGACCCAGGTATGTATGGAGCACCATTACTTATCTATGGAGTTATATTAGTGTCAAAAACTTTTGTAAAATACATTTCCCCATATCGCTCACACTTTTGGGACTGAATTTTGTTGATGAACATGAATATGTACGTCTATTGACCAACCATCACAGCATGAAAAATTGATCACTTTATTCATCTGAAAGTGAAAGTTTATGCAAGTAAAATTAATTTATTTTATTTGAAAACTTTCAGAGTAATATTTATGTTGTTTTGATAGAAATAAATATATATATATATATATTTAATAAATGTGGACTGTTTTTGAGCAATCGTGAGTTTTAAAGTTTAATTAATTAAATTAAATTGAATTCTATTCACTCCAATGTGGTTAATACTGGTAATTCTCAGATTATACGTTCTTATAGATTTCATACAATAATATATTCAAATAAAATTTCTCATCAATATTGACAAAAACATAAATATATATTATATATCTTGCATATATTTTGCAGGGTGTAGAGGGGGGAAGACCCGGGACGTCCCGCATGATTGGGTCTGACCGCAACGATGAGCCAACACACCACAGCCAATCAGAGCTCGCGATTCAACACGGGGGGACTTTTTACTAGAGGATTACTGCTTTGATTAAAACAGACACATTTTATTTGCAGTATTTTTTTGAAAAAAAAAACAAACATGTTATTGCACTTTTTGTAAATAAATAAATAAATCCTCCAAATTTCTTATTTAGCTTAGCTGATTTTTACAAGTATCTTATACAGGAGGACTATGTGTATGTACTATTTACTACTACTAATACTACTAATAAATAAATAAAATACAACATAATACAATGAGGCATGACTTATTATTGGCATTTTGTGTATAAAAGTATCTTGTGTAGGAATAGTGTGTGTTAATTTAGTAAAAAAAAATACAACAAAATAAAGATAAAATAGAAAATTAATCAAAATAAAATGTCTAAAATAATACAAGATATAATGTCTAAAGATATCTTTAACATACTAACTTACTGTTAACTTACTAATAAAATAAAAAAAGAATAAAATAAAAGGCATCACTTACTATTGGCATTTTTTGAATAAAAGTATCTTATGTAGGAGTAGTGCATGTGTATTTATTAAATTAAATTAAATTAAATAAAATGCAAAATAAAATACCAAATAAATTACAATACGGAATTACATAGTTTTTTTTTTGTATAAAAATACCATTAACTCAATAACTTACTGTTAACTTACTAATAAAATAAAATAAATAAATAAATAAATAAAACGCATTACTTATTGGCATTTTTCGTTGGCATCTTATGTAGGAGAAGTGCATGTGTATTTATAAAAATATATATAAATAAATAAATAAATAAAATAAAATAATAAAAATAGTATCAAATAAAATAGAAAATAAAGTAAAATACCAAATAAATTACACTAAGGAATTATGTATTATTGGTATATTTTATATAAAAGTATCTTATGTAGTATCTCTGTTTGTTAATTTACTATTAAAATAACATAAATTAAAGATTACAACTCTTTCTGGTTGTGAATTCTGACTTATTATTGACATAAAAAAATTAAATAAAAAATTATTCGCATTTTTTTGTATAAAAGTACCTTATGTAGGAGTACTGCGTGTTCATTTATTGTTAATAATAATAATGATGATTGCAGGAAGTGATGTCACATACCGCTGTCCACTGATTGGCTCTCCAGGCGGGGCAGGGTCCGGCTCGACAGGCCTTCTGTGTTCTGGGTGGGATGAGGTGAGCACAGCTCTCGTCCTGGATCTGGGTTTGGTTCTGATCGACGCAGACGATCTGCCGCTCTTGGACTCCCTTCCCGCAGGACACTGAGCACTGCAGACAGAGAAAGACGGAAGCGAACCACGAGCCGTCATGTTCTGAGTGCCGGGCTTCAAGAGCCGACGGAAACCACTGACAGTCATCTGGAACCAGTCACACAAACCCGTTTACACCAGACGGATATATCGTATTCCAACCCCGATGATAAACATAATATTGCTTCTGTTCATTAATTATGATTGTGGGACACGGAAGCCATATCCATGCGGTGTCACAGGAAATCCTACTTCACCACAAAAATTAAAAGACAGGAATAAGATATTCGCATACAGAAAAATGTATAGGTTTTTATAAAAGCTATTTTTTAAAACTTATTTTTATTACTGTGAAAAAAAAAAAAAAACATTTTAAATAACATTTTTATTACTCTTTTATTTTGTGCTAAGTTCTCCTCCAAATGTTTGGTTCAGCTCGGTTTAAAGAGGGAACAAATCCATGTTTGTATAAAAGCACTGTAACATTTCCACTGGAGGAGAGTTGATTAAAATCCAAGAATGAGCAGATACTCAACAAACAAAGACTTGGCTGGGCAAAACTAGAACTTACTCCGGAACTAACTCACCAGCAGAGGGTTACACCAACAAAGCTACACAAATGGAGAATGAAACATGAGGGCTACATCCATCAAACACCGGGTCACATGACAGCCAGGAACCAAGACAAGAACATACCAAACAAAACACAAAAAACACACGTATCTTCGTTTAGGAGTACTATGTGTTAATTTACTCATAAAATCAAATCAAATAAAACAAAACAAAATAAAACATTTAAAATAAAATAAAAAATATAATTGAATGAATTATTATTTATATTTTTATTTTTTATTTTTATATATTTTGTAAAGTCTATTTTTAGAGACCTTTATTTGTATTATTTTATTACTAAAATAATGTATGTCTACTTTTTAATAAAGCCTATTTTTAGAAACCTATAATATGTTTTTGTATTGCCACAGTGTTTTTCCCTAATTTTTATTACTATTTAATTAAAGTTTTATTTAAAATCAGCTTAAATTAAATGGAATACCACATTTACATTTAAATATAATTTAAATATACATTTACTTCATAAATAAAATAATATTATTATCAATAATAATTGTATCATGTTTTTTATTTGGATTATAGTAATGAGAATATTGAGGGATACATGCAAAAAAAAAAAAATTCTTAATATGCCTAAAAATAGGTTTAATTTTGTTTGTTCAAAAATTATTTCTTATTTTTTCCTTTTAATTTTAAGGTGAAATATGAGTTGGATCTCCTTCTGTTTTGACTTCAGTTACAGTCCCGGTATCTACGTCCACGTCTGTGAAGTTTGATCCTCATGGAGAATAAAAAAGCCACTCCTCAAACTAGGAGAAAGAGGAGTCACACACACACTGGAGGACGACGCGTGAGAGACGAGGACACACGGCTGAGGTCAGTCTGATGGGAATGAAGGTGATGTTTTGTGTTGAAATGATGAAGTGATCTGTACATCTGAATTTACTGCTAGAATCACTTCTGATGCATGAAAGTGTGTGTGATTCTCAGAATGTGACGACTGAGCTTGAGTGGAGTTTCTGAATCAGCTTTAGTCTTGAGACTGAATAATACAATCAAAAATTCACAAAACCTGTCAAGAACATAATTCAGCACAGAGTCAGAGATGTTTTTCTTTTTAGAATGACTAAGATATTAAGATATACACACTATAGTTTTCATATATAAATGTACATATATTTTTGAACAATTTTGATTTAAAATGTTAAATAATGTATAAAATTCAATTACATATTTTAGTTACCACTTTATTTAAAATATCTAAAAAGTATACATGGTGGTAGTATTTGTGGTTGATTGTACAGTGAAAACAGTAGTGTATCACAATAATGAGATGCTAATGAGCATTAAGATTAATCAGAGACGGCAGGTTTTGTGAGATTCAGACATTCAGATCACTAACCACGACACAAAGAGAACTCAGCGATCTGTGAATGAACTGCTGTAAAGTAACACTGATCTGGAAATCACTGCTTACGTCTCTGAGCGGACCTCTCTGAAAACTTCTCCACTTTAGTCACAAATATAGTATGTGTTCAGACAGGAAACTAAAGTGTGCTTCTCTGACATTTCTGACTGAAATATGTTAGATTGGTTACTGCTTAAACACAAAACGATGCATGAAGTCCATCAGTTGAAATGCACTTCAACTTCAACTTGGAGAACTTTTAAGAAAGCCTTAATGGTTTCCTTAGTTACTAGTCTCAAAAGTTCATTCAGTGGACATATGAAATGTTTTTAAAATATTTAAATATTTAATATAATAACAAAAATGTGTGTGAGAGAGAGAGAGAGTGAGTGTGTGTGTGTGTGTGTGTGAGAGAGAGAGAGAG